AGGATTCTTTTAGCTTAAGTTCGATGCTTGCTATTTCTCTGACCAGTGTCTCCCTACGCATTTCAGATATATTGACCTCTTTTAGCCGCTCTGTTATTCTTTTCCGTCGCCTGTAAGGGAGCGCCTGTCTCTTTCTATTTTACATTACTCCTCCTTTTTCTTAGAGGAGTAAGCCTTGTGCATACATCGAGTGCCACCGATTAATCTGTTCTAGGCATAAGTTGGGGTCTGTGTTGCTTAGTATATCTTCCCAGCTTATATCGGTTAGGACTTGGTTTACTTGGTCCCACTTTATGTTTTTTTTATTGAATTTGGGAATTTGGTGAATGCTCCCTCGTGACTAATCTCATTTTGTCGGTCTGGGGCTCCGCGCATACATGTCTGAACCTCAATTATGTTGTGATCTGAGTATATTGTTTTTGATATGGTGACATTTCTTATCAGATCATCATTGTTAGTGAAGATGAGGTCTAGTGTATTCTCCAGTCTAGTAGGCTCTATTATTTGCTTGTTTAAATTGAATTTTGTGCAGAGATTTAAAAGCTCGCGTGAGTGTGAGTTTTCATCAGAGCTGCCTCCTGGTGTTATTACTGCAACAATATTATTTGCTATATTCCTCCATTTTAGGTGCCTTAAGTTGAAATCCCCCAGGAGCAAGATGTTGGGTGCAGGAGCTGGAAGATTTTCCAGACAGTGGTCAATTTTTAACAGCTGTTCCTGGAATTGCTGGGATGTTGCATCCGGAGGCTTGTAGACTACACAATGACTAGGTTTGGTTCTCGACCTTTACTGCTAAAACTTCCACTACATCATTTGAGGCTTTTAGCAGTTCTGTGCAAACAAGTGACTCTGCAATGTACAGGCCAACCCCCCCCCCCCTTTTGCCTGTTCACTCTGTCACATCTGTATAGGTTGTAACCTGGGATCCATATTTCGTTGTCCAAGTGATCCTTTATGTGAGTCTCAGTGAAAGCCGCGAACATTGCCTTGCCTCTGCAAGCAGTCCACGGATGAAAGGTATTTTGTTGTTTGTTGCTGGCTTTAGACCCTGTATATTTGCAAAGAAGAATGTTATCGGACTGGTGGTATTGTTGGTACTGGGGGGGGGATTTTTTTCCGGCATTAGTATCTGTATCTGTTGGTTTGGAGTGGAGGCCATCGACTGTGGTTCCACTCCAGGAATGACTGGATTGGTGTACGATTTCTGCCATTTCCTGCCAGTTTTTTTTCCTTCCTGGCACTAAAAAACCTCTCCCTCTTGAGTGGCTGTGGCTACCCAGGTTTTCCATGGCCTGGATGTTTTGTATCTTTTTGTCCCCTTTAGATGGTATGCCTGGCAATTTAAGTTATAGCACAGTCTTTCCTGTACTGAAGAGGTACACAGTTCAGGGTGAAAAAGCTTACAGGAAGGGAGTTTGCATTTTCCTGTTGTCATATGGGCATGGCATTTTCTAGGGTGGTCATAGTTGCACGTCCCATCTGTTTTTCCAGATTTCCCATGCCAGCAGATACCGAGTGCATAGTATGTGCACAGGCTTGGTTTCCGTTTGCCTTGGGTTTCTGTGACTGTATTCCCTGTTGGTGCATGTTTCCCTGTCTTACTTCTATCCTCCCTAGCACCAACAATGGAGCTCCCACCAGTTGTTTTTGGTAATTTATCCTCACTATTGCTATTGGAGTCCTCTTGTTTGATATTTCCTGCGGTATTTCTAGTTTGCAATATTGGTTTTATCTTATCTTTGACTACACTTGTTTCCCTACTATGGCTTCTGTCCCCTATGAGGTCATTTATATGTATTCCTTCCTGCGTATAATTCCCGACTACCTGGACAAAATCTCCAGCTTCACCATTACTGTCTCCCAGGACAGCACCTCCAGCTTCACCATTACTGTCTCCCAGGACAGCACCTCCAGCTTCACCATTACTGTCTCCCAGGACAGCACCTCCAGCTTCACCATTACTGTCCCCCCAGGACAGCACCTCCAGCTTCACCATTACTGTCTCCCAGGACAGCACTATCAGCCCCACATTTACTGACTACCAGGACATCATCTCCAGCCTTACAGTTTCTGACTACATGGCCAGTATCAAGGGCAGTACCATTCAGCCCAGACTTTTTATGTTCCCATCTGTTGTAGAAAGCTTCCAGGTTTTCTATGAAAGCAGCTTTGATGTTGACCTCTTGATGTTGACCAGTTGTTTTTGGTAATATATTCTCACTATTGCTAGTGGAGTCCTCTTGTTTGCTATTTCCTGCGGTATTTCTAGTTTGCAATATTGGTTTTATCTTATCTTTGACTACACTTGCTTCCCTACTATGGCTCCTGTCCCCTATGAGGTCATTTATATGTATTCCTTCCTGCGTATAATTCCCGACTACCTGAACAAAATCTCCAGCTTCACCATTACTGTCTCCCAGGACAGCACCTCCAGCTTCACCATTACTGTCTCCCAGGACAGCACCTCCAGCTTCACCATTACTGTCTCCCAGGACAGCACTATCAGCCCCACATTTACTGACTACCAGGACATCATCTCCAGCCTTACAGTTTCTGACTACATGGCCAGTATCAAGGGCAGTACCATTCAGCCCAGACTTTTTATGTTCCCATCTGTTGTAGAAAGCTTCCAGGTTTTCTATGAAAGCAGCTTTGATGTTGACCTCTTGATGTTGACCAGTTGTTTTTGGTAATATATTCTCACTATTGCTAGTGGAGTCCTCTTGTTTGCTATTTCCTGCGGTATTTCTAGTTTGCAATATTGGTTTTATCTTATCTTTGACTACACTTGTTTCCCTACTATGGCTCCTGTCCCCTATGAGGTCATTTATATGTATTCCTTCGTGCGTATAATTCCCGACTACCTGGACAAAATCTCCAGCTTCACCATTACTGTCTCCCAGGACAGCACCTCCAGCTTCACCATTACTGTCTCCCAGGACAGCACCCCCAGCTTCACCATTACTGTCTCCCAGGACAGCACCTCCAGCTTCACCATTACTGTCTCCCAGGACAGCACTATCAGCCCCACATTTACTGACTACCAGGACATCATCTCCAGCCTTACAGTTTCTGACTACATGGCCAGTATCAAGGGCAGTACCATTCAGCCCAGACTTTTTATGTTCCCATCTGTTGTAGAAAGCTTCCAGGTTTTCTATGAAAGCAGCTTTGATGTTGACCTCTTTTAATACACTTGTGATTTTAGTCCACAGATTTATCTCATTTGGGCATACCCAAAAAATCTGGGTATATTGTTTTTGATATGGTGACATTTCATATCAGATCATCATTGTTAGTGAAGATGAGGTCTAGTGTATTTTCCAGTCTAGTAGGCTCTATTATTTGCTGGTTTAAAATGAATTTTGTGCAGAGATTTAAAAGCTCGTGTGTGTGTGAGTTCTCATCAGAGCTGCCTCCTGGTGTTATTACTGCAGCAACATTATTTCCTGTATTCCTCCATTTTAGGTGCCTTAAGTTGAAATCCCCCAGGAGCAAGATGTTGTCCCCCAGGATGCGACCGACACCAGTCGACTAACACCCAGGTACCTATTTGCTGCTAGGTGAACAGGACAACAAGTGTAAGAAAACTTATCGAAATATTTCCACCCGCCTGGAATCGAACCCGGGCACTCCGTGTGTGAAGCGGAATCTTTAGCCACCAGGCCACCGGGCCACATGATAATATACACTTGGAAAATCCTAGATGGATTAGTACCAAACTTTCACACGAAAATCACTCCCTATGAAAGCAAAAGACTTGGCAGACGATGCAACATTCCCCTAATGAAAAGCAGGGGCGCCACTAGCACGATAAGAGGCAACACAATAAGTATCTGGGGCCCAAGACTGTTCAACTGCCTCCCAGCATACATAAGTGTGATTACCAATAGATCCCTGGCTATCTTCAAGAAGGCATTGCACCTGAAGTCAGTACCTGACCAGCCGGGCTGTGGTTCATACGTAGGGTTGCGTGCGGCCAACAGTAACAGCCTGGTTGATCAGGCCCTGATCCACCATGAGGCTTGGTTACAGACCGGGCCACGGGGGCGTTGACCCCCCGAAACCCTCTGCAGGTAGACCTCGCCATGTGAAGGGAGAGTTTTAGCCACCAGGCCACGACGGGGAATGAGTTGGTTTCTACTGATTTGTTGAACAATATTTTAATGTTGGGTGAAAGCACATACTATCTACCTACATGGTTTATTGTACACACGTCGCTTCCCTCAAACACTCAGTGAAAAATGATAAATCATAGTTGGTACATAATGTGGGGTAAGCAATGTTAAATAATGAAAAAACAGCTGCAATGTTTGAACAGTCCAGTCATAGTTCAGTGGATGACGTGATGCTGTTCAGTTAGATTCCCTTTTGACATTTTAATATGACACAGTGCAAATCGTAGACCTTTTTTTTTTCTTAAGTATGTGCAGGCTTTAATAACTTTCACGATCGTTGTAAAATATGACAATTATACATATAAAGAATAGTATATTAAAAAGTAATGGGTAGTTTTCTATATATTTCTTATTATAATTACCGAAGGACTTATGTTGCTGTACCAATAAAGTTGTGAGCAGTATATTTTGTTGTGCTATGACTTTTTTAAGTGATAAATACATATTATTGTATTATAAGGACCCAATGAAAATAAGTCACTGACTTTTTTTTGGGGTTACCCTAGGAAATTTACACTATGTATGACAATTGTACTTATGTGTAACTGTGCCTATACAAACTTACTTACTTACTAACTTACTTAGTTACTTAGTTACTTACTTACTTACATAGTATATATGAGAGTGTTTTATCAGTGATATCCGGAAGCCAGGCGGTGCCTTGCTTCACATACGCTACCAACACCCACCATATATAGTCGAAATTAACTATTTATATAACTCGTAGTTATATAGAGTTACCATACATATATAAAAAAGGCATAATGTATTAATTACGAAGGTCACGCTAGGTGTTTTATGAGAGATATAGAAGTATAAATGTATGTTGCGTGTGGTGTATGTGAGGCAGCAGCAGCAGCTGGTGCACTGATAGTGTGGTCAACACCCCACACACTTGCTACTCTTCTCCTGTAACACCATCTGCAGTAATGGATAGTAAAGGCAGAAAAATTGTTGTGTGTGACAATGGTACTGGGGTAAGTGTGCTGGCTGGTAGGTTAAGTTAGTTGGTGATGGTGTAATATGTTGAGTGAGGAGGAGGGTGTATAAGCCAGGCTGACACACTCATCACAGGATATACACACCTATAGGTGTTTCTCTCAGCCTATATATGCTGCTTTAATCCCAGTTTTTAGGGTTTAAAGTATTCGTATTTGGTAGTGAAAAGGTTACGTGCAGCCTTAATTGCTCTGTTGTAGTTGATTAGTTTTAAACCTTATTAACCTAACGTCCTCGACCATAATTAAGCTGTTCATTATCCTCAAGGGAGGTACCATGATCATGAGGGGGGCTCTTGATCTAAGGAATTGGAACTGTTCTTTTCTTCTCTGCACTAAACCTGATTACCTAACCGAGCACTTCTTTACCCCAGTGTGTTTAACACTCACTCCTTAAATATATACCATTAATAATTGTTAGTAAATGTCCACATCTGGTTCTTGTGTGATTTAAGCATAATTTATTAATTGAAATGTCCAATATTAAGTGGTTTTACCATGAACATGTTTTTATTTTGTGTGATAAAAAATGTACGTTAATCTACCCCCCCCCAAAAAAAAAAATTTTAAATAACTAGCATAACTTAACCTACTCTGCTAGAGGTAGATATAGAACTAGTGTGTGTATGTTGCTGTGATTAGCCAAGGTGTTGACTAACTTGACACTAAGTGATGATTGGCCATAAAGATGACATTTGTTCAGATTTTTAACCCCGAGGGTTCGCCACCCAGGATAACCCAAGAAAGTCAGTGCATCATCAAGGACTTGTCTGATTTCCATTGGGGTCCTTCAGTCTTGTCCTCCAGGATGTGACCCACATCAGTCGACTAACACCCAGGTACCTACTTACTTTTGGGTGAACAGGGACAGCATGTGCAAAGAAACGTGCCCAGCGTTTCCACCCGTACTGGGGATTGGACCATGGACACTGTGAGGCGAGAGCGTTGCCTACCGAGCCCTGGGACATTTCACTTCAGCCAAACAAAGGGTATTATTTTTACTTATATCTCCCAAAATAATAGTTTCCCCAAGAAATAAGTAAGTAGGTACCTGGGTGTTGGTTGACCAGTGTGGGGTCACATCCTGGGGACAAAATTAACCAAATTTAATCCAGTATATATCAAATAAAATTTCCAAATCAGTAGGCATGCTTTCCAAGGTATGGTAGTGTGTACCCCAGACAACACTCCTTACCCTATACCACTCTCTAATACAGTGGAACCCCGCATAACGATTACCTCCGAATGCGACCAATTATGTAAGTGTATTTATGTAAGTGCGTTTGTACGTGTATGTTTGGGGGTCTGAAATGGACTAATCTACTTCACAATATTTCTTATGGGAACAAATTCGGTCAGTACTGGCACCTGAACATACTTCTGGAGTGAAAAAATATCGTTAACCGGGGGTCCACTGTATATCCCTACCTCACCTATGGCATTTGTGCCTGGGGATCAACCACGGCCAACCACCTTAAACGTCTAATAACCCAACAAAAAGCTGCTGTGTGGATGATCACCAACTCCTGTGCCAGACAGCACATGCCACCACTTTTCAAAAGCTAAATACGTATATGAAACATGCACTCACATTATTGTGCCTACTATATATACAGAACATTAAACTCCAATATAAACCCTCCACTTAAACTTTCCCTTGATAGCTACAGCAAGGCACAAACACTTTTTGACATCCCTTGTGTCCGTCTAACACTGCAGTAATGCAGTGCACATAAAAGGGCCTGAAGATCTGTAATCCATTACCTGAACCAGTCAAAGATCCCCTGATTGCATACAAATTTAGGGCTATGCTTAAAAATAATTTCATCTCAATACTAACCATACCAACCAAAACAACATCTAACCAGTTTGAAGCAACTCTCCCAAATTTTATATGACCTGTAGTCTATTAAAACATCTACTCATACTTGAAATGGTACTGTTTGACTCATTACTTGTAATATTGTTATTCGTTGTGTGCAACATCAGATTATTATTCTTATAAACATTCAACTTTTGACTACCTCACATTAGTATTAAAATAAAATAATGAATAATTAAAAAGATAACCACTCTTATCCTGTCAAGACTTAAGTAGGTTTTAAGTATTAAGATTAGTCTGCCCGAATGCCCCAACATGATAGTGGCTTTCTTTGTACTTGATAAATCAAAATTGTAATTACACATTATAACCTTTGCAAAGAAATAAAATCTTTATCGAAGTTGCTCAAAATGCTCTGCATAACCAGCAAGGTCAGTATAAGTTGTATCATGTACAGTGGACCCCCGGTTAACGATATTTTTTCAATCCAGAAGTATGTTCAGGTGCCAGTACTGACCGAATTTGTTCCCATAAGGAATATTGTGAAGTAGATTAGTCCATTTCAGACCCCCAAACATACACGTACAAACACACTTACATAAATACACTTACATAATTGGTCGCATTCGGAGGTGATCGTTATGCGGGGGTCCACTGTACTTGTAAAAATAAAGATTGTTATTATTACACCTTGCTTGTACTGGTATTTTAAAAAATAAAAAAGTGTGAGTTCTCAGAAGGACCTGACCTGAATATTATGTAAAATAATGCATCACTTGATGTGACATGCAAAGCAGCAGCTGGGAGCTGATACTTCACCAGACTGACAAGAATACGTACAATTAATGCATACACTTCAGCTTTGTTGGGCTGTCCTTCGGTAAATTACAATAATTTATCACCCCAGTATGCCTATAATCATGCTTCAAGCAAACATTTTAAAAATTTCAAGCAGCAGTCAGTAAAATCATCTGAATATTTAGCTCTGTGGCAGTGTTTATCTCACAACTGAAAGGACCTGGATTTGAATGCTGAGTGTGGCGAGTCGTGACAACAGTAGGTCTATTGGCCCATGCTAAGCAGATTCAGTTTATACTGAATGCCATGCCATGGTGGCCCGTGGCCTGGTGGCAAAAGCTCTTGCTTCACAACATCAAAGCTGCTTTCATAGAAAACCTGGAAGCTTTCTACAACAGATGGGAACATAAAAAGTCTGGGCTGAATGGTACTGCCCTTGATACTGGCCATGTAGTCACAAACTGTAAGGCTGGAGGTGATGTCCTGGGAGACAGTAATAGTAAAGCTGGAGGTGCTGTCCTGGGAGACAGTAATGGTGAAGCTGGAGGTCCCTGTCCTGGGAGACAGTAATAGTAAAGCTGGAGGTGCTGTCCTGGGAGACAGTAATGGTGAAGCTGGAGGTGCTGTCCTGGGAGACAGTAATGGTGAAGCTGGAGATACTGTCCTGGAGACAGTAATGGTGAAGCTGGAGATTTGTCCAGGTAGTCGGGAATTATACGCAGGAAGGAATATATATAAATGACCTCATAGGGGACAGGAGCCATAGAGGGAAACAAGTGTAGTCAAAATAAGATAAAACCAATATTGCAAACTAGAAATACCGCAGGAAATAGCAAACAAGAGGACTCCAAAGCAATATGAGGATAAATTACCAAAAACAACTGGTGGGAGCTCCATTGTTGGTGCTAGGGAGGATAGAAGTAAGACAGGAAACATGCACCAACGGGGAAATACAGTCACAGAAACCCAAGGCAAGCGAAACCAAGCCTGTGCACATACTATGCATTTGGGTAACTGCTGGCATGGAAATCTGGAAAAACAGATGGGACTTTGCAACTATGACCACCCTAGAAAATGCCATCCCCATATGACAACAGGAAAATGCAAACCCCCCTTCCTGTAAGCTTTTCACCCTGAAATGTGTACCTCTTCAGTACGGGAAAAGACTGTGCTATAATTTAAATTGCCAGGCATACCATCTAAAGGGGACAAAAAGATACAAAACATCCGGGCCATGGGAAAACCGGGGTAGCCACAGCCACTCAAGAGGGAAGGTTTTTTTAGTGCCAGGAAGGAAAAAAAACTGGCAGGAAATGGCAGAAATCGTACACCAAATCCAGTCATTCCTGAGTGGAACCACAGTCATGGCCTCCACTCCAAACCAACAGATACAGATACAAAATCCGGAAAAAAAATCCCCACCCAGTACCAACAATACCACCATCCGATAACGTTCTTCTTTGCAAATATACAGGTTCTAAAGCCAGCAACAAAACACAAAATACCTTTCTTTCCGTGGACTGCTTGCAGAGGCAAAGGCAATGTTCGCGGCTTTCACTGAGACACACATAAAGGATCACTTGGACAATGAAATATGGATCCCAGGTTACAACCTATACAGATGTGACAGAGTGAACAGGCAAAAGGGGGGGTGGCCTGTACATTGCAGAGTCACTTGTTTGCACAGAACTGCTTAATGCCTCAAATGACGTAGTGGAAGTTTTAGCAGTAAAAGGTGGGAGAACCAAAACCTAGTCATTGGGGGTAGTCTACAAGCCTCCGGATGCAACATCCCAGCAATTCCAGGAACAGCTGTTAAAAAATTGACCACTGTCTGGAAAATCTTCCAGCTCCTGCACCCACCATCTTGCTCCTGGGGATTTCCAACTTAAGGCACCTAAAATGGAGGAAAAATAGCAAAAAATATTGTTGCAGAAATAACACCAGGAGGCAGCTCTGATGAAAACTCACACTCACACGAGCTTTTAAATCTCTGCACAAAATTCAATTTTAAACCAGCAAATAATAACCTACTAGACTGGAGAAAAACACTAGACCTCAAAATTCACTAACAATAAATGATCTGATAAGAAATGTCACCATATCAAAAACAATATACCAGATCACAACATAATTGAGGTTCAGACATGTATGCGAGGAGCCCCCAGACCGACAAAATGAGACTATCACGAGGGAGCATTCACCAAATTCAACTTCAATAACAAAAACATAAAGTGGGACCAAGTAAACCAAGTTCTAACCGATATAAGCTGGGAAGATAAAACTAAGCAAAACAGACCCAAACTATGCCTAGAACAGATTAACTCGGGCACTCGATGTAAAGCACAAGGGTTATTCC